GCGCAGGGTAGCAGGAAGCTCTCCGCACACTCACCGGACCTGGGCTAGGACTCAAATGTTTTTTAATTGTATGAAAATAAAATTTAAAGTCTCACCATAATTTCTCTTATGGAAGGGAGTGATTTAGTTAGAAGAAAAATCAAAGTGCTTGCTATTTTAAGATAGGTTGGTGCCTAGGCGGTACAACCATAAACTATCTTTCTATCATGACAGAAAGCACTTTAAGTGCTTTGCCCATTGAGTTCCTATAAAGAATTGTTTTGGGGCCAGGGAGATGGCTCAGTGGAATAAGTGCTTTCCTGGCAAGTGCAAGGGCCTGAGTTCAATCCCTGGTTCTGCAAAAAAAAAAAAAAAAAAAGAATTGTTTTTTCTGTACTCATTGTGAATCTTGAAATCCAGTTTTGCTGTAACGATACCACTCCTTTACCTTCCCATTCCTCTGTTTGTCATCTGGGATCCGGAGTAAAGAGATCTCTAAGGTCATTCTCTTACTGCCAGTATTTGACTCAGAAGACACAGACGATCATGAGATGCTTGCATGAGGTTCTTTTTCTTATCTGATAACTTCCTTGACTGTCACATTTTGTATACTTATTACTATCCAAAGGCAGTTTATTCATTTGATCAAAATGAATTATTCATTTGCAAATATTTAAAAGAAGGCCTGCTATGTACTGCTTAGAATTTTGGACAGTAAACAAAATAGGCAAATAGCTGAAATAATAGGATCTTATATTACTCTTTTCTTAGATTTTCAGAAGTTTTACTTCTTTTAGTTTCTCCCTCTTAGTGGTAGTTCATGTGTAAATGACTTTTATTTACTAGTGTCTTCCACCAGATACCTGACATGCTTCTATGGAGAACAAAACATAGTTTATTCCTCAAACTGTGACCACCAAAACAAAAGCAAAATTAATATCTATAATGAATATTTGTCCTATATGCAGATAGTATGAAGTTTCAACATGTTTGGCAGAGTTTTGGGCCAAGCATTTTTACATTACCAGTTAAAACTGATAACTCAAAATACGAAGGGGGGAGAGAGAGGGAAAGGGGGGGATAGAGGGAGAGGGAGAGGGGAAGAAGGAGGAGGAGGAGGAAGAAGAGGAAGAAGGAGGGAGGGAGGGAGGGAGGGAAGGAGGGAAATTTATAAGTTTTTCCCTCTTATAAATACTTACTTTTGTCAGGCTGAACATTTTACATGTATTAGTCATTTCACAGCAACCTTATGGGATGTTAATCTTGTTTCACAGAGGACATTGTGGCATGGCGAGGGTGATTTCCTTCTGTGAGTTAGTGAGTGGTGAAACTTGGATTGGTACCCAGTCAGTATGGCTCCTATGCGATGATCCTTCTCAGTCAGCTTTTTGAAAGATCATCATAAAGAAAAGGCAAAGCTATTTTTCCTTCCCTTCATCTCTTACTATTCAATAAGGAGAAATTTTGGTTGAAGAGTGGAAGGTTTCTGCCTCTAATGCTCTGATGCATATGTGCTGACTGTTGTTTGGGTTTAAGGAGGTAGCCATGCTATATAGAATATAAACAATATAATGCTTATTTTGTTTTCAGACACCAGATGTGGATTTTTGGATTATTCCCCTTATCCAGGGTTTTGTGCAGATTGAAGAGCTTGTGGTTAATTATAATGAATCATCTGATGATGAGAAAAGCAGCCCAGAAACCCCCCCTCAGGAGTCCACCTGTGTAGATGACATTCACCCACGATTTCTAGTAGCTCTTATCTCACGCCGGAGTAGGCACAGAGCAGGTGAGTAGGGGGCTACAACAGCATGTAAATAAAATTCAGATGAGAATGGAAGCTGGCTGTGGGGGTGCATCCCAGTGTCCCAGCACGCAGGAGGTAAAGACAGGAGGATCACTGTGAGTTGGACACTAAGCTAGGCTACATAATGGGTTCAAGGCCAGCCTCAAATACATTGTGAGACCCTGTCTCAATAAAAATGGAAAAGGTGCATATGTGTTAAGATGCTTATGACAGTCTTGGAGCACAGTTGGCTTCAAAGTGCTTGGTGACTGTAAATACTGTGATATAGTTAGGGACTACTTTTTGAAGATGTGAATAGAGAAGTTAGCAAAATGAGCTTGAAAAGGAGATATATAGATACAGGAGAGAAGAAAGTCATTTGGGATGTGCTTCTAAATAAGAGTGTTCCAGCTGATAGTATGTATCACAGTGATAAATTCTTCGTGAGTATTAATACCTTTGGGAAAACCCTTCTCTTTCACTCCAGAAGAACTATTTTAGATTTAGCTTTTTAAAAAATATGATGCATACAGTTATGTTTTTGGGTAAATTAATACTGTTCTTCCTGTCAGATGCATGTATGGTTCCCAAGGCATTCTTGGAGGACATATATTTGATCAGGAAGCATAGTCTAGTCAGATAAACTTTAAAGATGTTACTGCTTTAATTTTCTTTTAGGAATGCGCTATAAAAGAAGAGGAGTAGATAAAAATGGAAATGTTGCAAATTATGTGGAAACTGAGCAGTTAATTCATGTTCATAATCATACATTGTCCTTTATTCAAACACGAGGTTCTGTGCCTGTCTTTTGGAGCCAGGTTGGGTATCGATATAATCCAAGACCTCGGCTGGACAAAAGTAAGCATGTCAGTTGTCTGACTTGTAAATTGATACTTTCAGAGAGGTTATATTTTTTAAAATTAGATGATTGATAGGTTTGGGTTTGCTTTCCAGATTCTTCATTCAGAACAGTAACACTTAGGGCTGGAAATGGAGCTCAGTAGTAGAGGACTTGCCCTGAGTTTGATCCCCAGCTCTGCAAAACAATAACAAAACCCCCAATAAATCTTATTGGGAACTGTAACAGAAAGTTGTATAATAATTATAGGAGTAGAGAAAGTTATTTATGGAACATTTGAAGGTTTCATGGGCTGGGGATGTAGCTCAGTGGTGGAGCATTTGCCTAGTATATGGAATGTCTTTACTATAAAACAAGTTCCTCCAATAATTTAATGAAACAGCATATTTCATAGATCTTTAATTGGTGTTCTTTGAAGAATACTTTATTCAGTGTTTAGTATTTAGAAAGAACTGATATACCCAATATTTGTAAAAGTAGAAAGTCTATGAAGAAGTTAGAATTTATCAAAAATTAGTGAGGTGTCTTTATTCAGATGTCTCTCCTTCAGAAGTTTATTTTGAAAGAATGAAATTCTTTTCTTCCAGTGCTAATAAATTTTAGCCCTAGGATAGCTAAATCATTTAAATCTAATTAGATTACAGAGAACAAAATGTTATATTTTTTCCCTAAAGGCTTAATTCATATTCTTTGAGAATTTAGTAAAACTTCATTTTTAAGTATCATTGTTTTGCAGGGATTTGTATTCTCATGTTATAAGTCATATGAAACTTCCTGAGAAGTTGGCTGGATATATTATTACTAAATGTCAAATTTCACAGTTGATGCTTTCAGATATGTTTCAGTTTAGTCTCACTGGAAAAAAATTAAAGATATTTGCCTTAGCATTTTATTTTAAAGTGATGATTAGGCAATCTTATATTTAGGTTGTCAATAAGTTATTTAAAAGTAAGAATAAAAATAGAATAGACACTGATTTCTGTCTTAAACATGGGAAGGAAAAAAGATTTTGTATCACTTCTTTGTAGGTGAAAAGGAAACTGTTGCCTATTTCTGTGCTCATTTCGAAGAACAACTGAAAATTTACAAAAAACAGGTGCGCTTTGATATGTAGTATAAAATATTCCTTCATATGTGGAAATGATTGTATATCTATTTCTTTAAACAAAATTTATTTCTGAATATTTTTACAAAAATAACATTGTACTATTCATGATTTTACATAGCAGAGCATTTGTCATGATGTTAAAAAATGTAGAAGCTAAGAAACTTCTTCATATTTTACAGAACGATCATTGAGCTAGCTACTTTAGATAAGAGATTAGATGCCTAGAAGTTTTTTAAAATTAGTTGTTTTTTTTTTTATTTTTTTCTGTACTAGGGATTGAACTCAGGACTGGAGTTTGCCAGGCAGGCACTTATGCCACTGAACTATCTCCCAGCCCTAGTTGTTACAATTTAACATGTGTCAAGACTAAAAAATTAAAGTCATTTGTAAGAAACACTATTGGAGATTGAAATTTTATGTGTATCTTAAAAATTTAAAAAATTTTATTTTTTAAAGATAACAAAATAGCATTAAAAATTACAAATTTCACTAAACAAAACAATATAAATTTGACAGTATTTTTTGTGTTATCGTCTTTTTAAAAAAATTTTTATTTATTTGTGTGTGTGTGTGTGTGTGTGTGTGGCCAGCTCAGCCCACCAGGGGGCAGGGCTGGCTGGCATGTGGTGCAGGGGATTGAACCAGGGTCCCTATACTTTGCTAAGCTTGTTCTAAGTAGGTGCTTTAGACCACTGAGCCATCTCACCAGGCCCTGTATTGTTGTCTTCAAATTGGTTGTTCAGATTACCAGATATATGGATGCAAAATTGGAAAAAGAAAGAACAAAAAGTTAAGAGAATGTAAGAGAGAAAAAGGAAAAATGAAAAAAAGAAGCAATGTGTATCTTTGAGTCTTTCTATATATTTCTTCTTCTCCGGCTGCCTTTTGTATTCTTGCCTTTATATATGGAAATGCAATCATACAAAATAAAATAAATTGAAGACTGTTAAGTAAAATACAACTTCAGTATAGTAATTTTGATGCAAGATTAATAACATATAATCATAATGCTCTTTATCCATTAGCAATGCCCAGTCTGAATGTAGTGCCATGAGTGCATTTCTCTTACAGCAATAATAAATAAAATAGAAGAAGTAACCTAAGTATGGTAAACATGTAAAAAGATACCATATATAGGGTGAAGAAAAAATTATAGAAAATGGAGAGAAAATACCATGTTTCAGGAAATAAAGTTCCATTATTCGGTAGATTTCAGTTCTTTCCAATTTAATATATATTTCATGCAATCTCAAAGTCTTAGCAGGAAATAGGAGGCAAACTCTCATAACACAAAGAATTAGGAAATTTGATGAGCAATAAAGGCAGATATTTGAATTTCAAAAATAAGAACTGTTCCATACTAGAAGCATTAAGTTGGTATAGTGATTTTGAATATATCCGGTAAACACACTTTTCACATACTAATTTTACTTTTTTATATATACCATAGACAGAATTAGTTTGAGATAGATTATGGAGGTATATATGATAAGTTAAGCAATAAAGCTTTTAAAGGACTATATAGAATTTGTTTGACCTTGGGATTTATAAAAACAGTAATATTGTCTGCCTATGTTTTCAATGCATGATTATATATTGCATATCTTATTAGTTTACTAAGGAGTAATACTATTATACCTAAGAAATACTATTTTAAAAAAAATACTTATTATAATGAAAAATTTAGAAAATTTAATGTTAGATTTATTTTTATTAAAATATAATTTATAACTTATTAACACTTCATTATCTTATAAATATTACAAGTGACATTTATTACAAATGTTAAAATTAAGTAGGACCTTTTTGTATTTTTTTTAGGGAATGGTCTACAGGGTGTTCAGGGTCTCACTACTAGATTGGACTTGTAGTGATTCGCCTGTTTACAGCCTCCCAAGACCTGGTATTACGGGAGCACACCACTATGCCCAGTCTCAATTGCCATATCAGTGCGCCCCAGGAGCAGGGCTGGCACGGGAAAGTAGGACTTTATAAGGAAAGAAGTTGATAAATTGGACTGTTGAAAGAAAAATTCCTCTTTATTGAAAAGGAAATTCATAGAGTGGATATTTAAGATTTTTCAGTGCATATATATGACAAAGGTTTCATATCTATAGTATATTTAGAAGCTCTTATAAATCCATATAAGAGGGGGGCTGGGGAGATAACTCAGTAGCATAAGCGTCTACCTCCTAAGTGCAAGGTCCTGAGTTCGATTGCTGGTACCACTAAATGCATACATACATACATACATACATACATACATACATACAAGAGATGTGCCTTCCCAAAGAAAACTGGAAAAACAATTGTGGAGACTCTTCATGCAAAAAGATATCCAGAAAGTCAAAAACACATGAAAGGTGCTCTAATTCAAATTAAAACCATAATTTACCACAATGGCTAAAACAAAAGAGGTGGGAACTACCAAATTTTAGCAAGGATGTGGAACAACTGGAATTTGCATAGAAAAAAATTAAATCTACTCAAGAGAAGTGTGTTCAATTAATGCACTTTAAGAATATTCACTGCAGCATAAAAACAACTTAATTGATCATCTGGAGGACAACGGGTACATGAAATACAGTACATCTAAAGTACTTAGTATAAATGCTTAGAAAGAATGAAGTACATGGCAAGTTACATTTGAAGAAAAGTATATAATAGTGTATGGTATGTTTTCATTTAAGAAAATTCCACAAAACAAAATCCTGTCATTAACATGTATATAGTTCTCATCCATCTATTCTGCCATCCATATATGGCACACACAGTGATATAAAACTGTACTTTTGTGACACACACCTAAGTGGTAATTTCTCAGGGAGGGCTGAGGGACTGAGTTGTGGTCAGGAAGGATTTGACTTTATCTACTTTTAAATTTCACACAATGTGAATAAATTCATGTATTAATATATGTAATTATAGATAGCTTTACAAAGAATTTTTGATGTAGCACATTTTATTTTATTTATTTTTGCACATTTTAAATGTAACACACTGTAATAAAAATAAATACTGAGATGTATAAGCAGAGGAAATAACTTCTTCCCACACTCATCCCTGCTGCCTGTTGGCTTTCACATAATTTTATAGGTGTTTATTGGGCAGGTACTTCCTGATTTCTAACAATGCCCCAACAGTGTTCATTTATCTATTTCCTTCTCCTGGGTAATTGCTTCACCAAGTATAGACCTGTGGTTAGTCTGGCTCAGACATGGTGACATCAGTGCTCTCACCAGTGATTGATTTATATGTAAGCCCTATGTGTACACTGGTGATTTAGCCAATAAGGTATAATGTGGAGAAGTCCCCTGGGGGGCTGCTGGGGAAAGGTTTCCTGCTCTAATAAAAAGAGATATAGGAACCACAGTTCCCCTGTGGTTGTGTCTGTATTTAATGTGGAAGTGCTATATCTTTCTCAAAATTGAATGAACTAGCCAGAGACAACCAGTATGCTGGTAGGATAAAAAAAGACGTAAAGAATGACAGAATAAGAATGTGGATGGAGTTAGTGTTCTTGATAGTATTGGGAACCACTGAATTCAGTTATTCTAGAACCATGCTAGCATTTTTTCAGATTTATTTTGAGATATTAGTGATTTGGTTTCTGTACCAATTTCTGTCACAAGCATATTCACAATTCAGAACTTTAATCAAAACATAGCTGTACCATAAATGCTATGCTGCACCTTTTTTTTCTTAAAATGTCATGACCATTAACTACTTCAGTGGTGGACTTTCACAGTATTTCTGCTATTATAAAGCGTTTCTAAACTACGTGTGATGGTATACACCTATAGCCCCAGCAGTTGGAAGGCAGAGGCTGGAGGATCATGAGTTTGAGGACAGCCTGGATTCCATGGCTAACCTGGACTACATAACAAGAACCTATAAAAAAGGAAGTCTCCAGAGCATCTTTTATATATTTTAGGATACTTGTGTATTCTTTTTTTTTTTTTTTTGCGGAACCAGGAATTGAACTCAGACCCTTGTGCTTGCCCAGGAAGCACTTATTCCACTGAACCATCTCCCCAGCCCCTTGTGTATTCTATAGATCAAATTTTTAGATATGAAATTACTGGATCAAACAGTGCATATGTATTTAAAGCTGATAACATACCACACTGGCTCTCAAAAAATGCGTACCAGTTCACATTTCCAGGAACCATGGGAGCTAGTGCCTATCTCCCCACATTTACCATTGCTACCTATATTTATATTCATATTTACCTGTATGTAGGTGAAAACTAGCTTTCTACTTTAAAATTTGTTTATTAACAAAGCTAGGCTTGTGTTTATTGGCAGTTTATGTATTTTTTTTCATTTATCCTTTTTTATTGGATTTATAGTACTCTATGTATTATTGGTGCTCATTGCAATTGTATGTTCCTGGGTATTTTTTTTTATTTTGTCTTTTTACCTTTTATTATACTATTACTGGTATACAAGTTAAACTTTTTTATGTTATTACATCTGATAGTCTTTTCCTTTATGCCTTCTGGTTTTTATGTTAGGCTTAGAAAGTCATGTCCCAGCTTTCAGTTATGAGAATAGTACCCTAAGTTTTCTTCAATTTTTAAAATAATTTTAAGGAAAAATATTTAGAATTTTGATGTATCTAGAATTTGTTTTGTGTGCAATTAATGAGATGTAGAGAGCAATTGTAAACTCCTCATACAGATGGACAAGTATCCCAGTAGTGTACCATTGATGGAATGGTCCATATTTGCCCACAGTGGCATAGTTAACATGTCTGAGAATCCTCAGTGGACATAGGTCTTTATCTGAGCCATAAATCCTGTTGTACTGAGTCAGGTACCTATTTCTACATGGGTTGTGCAGTATTAATTGCTACATAGAATGTTTTGCTCTCCAATGGGTTAAGTTCCATTATTTTCCAATTTTTTTTCACATATTTACTCGTGACAAGTTACTTTGTCGAAGTCCACAAAGGTCCTGGTAGAACTTTATTTATTTTTGTATTTAGGACAGGGTCTATAGGGGCTACAGGGTCTCACTATGAAGATCAGACTCAGTGATTCTCCTGTTTTCAGCCTCCCAAAAGCTGAGATTACAGGCAAGGACCACCATGCCCAGTCTCCATGGCCAGCTCAGCACCCCAGGAATCGAACCCCAGCCACTGTCCTCTGCTTGAGCAGGCGCGTTAGTCCACTGAGCTCTCAGGCCAGCCCTAAAACTTGAGAAAGTTTTTTTTTTTTTTTGCTGACTGAGGCAGCCTTAAGGGCAGGTAGGCTGTGGATGTGGAGCTGGGAATTGAATCATGGCCTCTTGTGTGTGCCTGAGTTTGCCCAAGCAGGTGCTTTAAACAACTGTGCTAACCTGTAAGCCCTTTCTGGTAGAATTTTTATTGAGATTGTTGAATGTATTGATTAATTTGGGGAGACTGGACATCTTTACAGTATTGAATGTATGTATTTAATCAGGTTTCTTTTATGTATTTCAGCAGTTTTGCAATGTTTAATATGTAGATTTTATGTATTTCTCTTTAAATTATTTTAGATATTTAAAATATTTGCTACTATAAAGGACCATTTATTTTCATTGTACATTTTTTAATTGGTTGTTGCCAATGTATCGAAAAGCTATGAATGCTATTCATGTAAACAATTCTTGGCCTCTGGGAGCATGGAGGATGGTGTGCATGTCTCCCAGGTGCCGTCTGTGGCCTTGCAGCCCCACTGCTCACATCCTGGGTTGTAGCGCTTTTGCTCAAGCCTGGAGACTTAGTGAGAAGGTAGGGGCTATGCAGTTACTCAGTCAAGGGCTACCTGTAAGTATAAGTTTCTGAGCTAGATGATATGTGAAGAATGGATTGTGTTTTAAAAAAAAAGAAAAAGAAAAGAGTAATGATCTAGATTTTCAGGACTTTGAAGGAATTTAAGCTGGGCATGATGGCACAAGCCAGAAATCCCAGCACTCAGGAGATTGAGGCAGGAGGATCCTGGAGAGTTTTAGGCCAGGTTGGGCTACATGTATTTGCCTACTCTTCTGGTATAACTAGTTAATGGCTGGGAATAAAGGAAGAGTATGTGCTGCCTATATCTTTGATATTGAGGTTGTTGGGTTTTGCAAAGGTGAAAAGTTACCTGATGTAGTGTTAAAGTCACTCCCACTGTTCATAAGTCACTGCCACTGAAAACAGGAGAAGTGAAGATTGCATGCTGGCTTTGAAACAGGAATTGAGAGTAACAATGAAAAGAAAGCTTATTTTATTGAAAATCCTGAAGAAAAACCTGATATTGATAGGTACAGTAAAAAAAATACATGCAGGTGTACAAAGAAGAGTGGATACCAGATTGCAGAGGATGTCACAAGAGAGATAACACACAAGAGAAAATGCAGAAAAGCAGATTCCAAATCCAAAAACATGAAAAGTTCAAAGTCTCCTCACTCATTAATACTGCAGATATTTTGAAAAAAATTGAGGAAGTGGCAAAAAGGGGTGATGATGAAAAATCCAATGAGGAAAATGAAAAAAAAAGAAGAAAGCAAAGAAAAAGTAAAGGAGTTGATGATAGAACAGGGAGACAATGACAGAAAAGAGCAGGAAGAAGAAGGTGACTGCATCATTTATGCTTCAAAGACAGAGATGATTGTGGTGCTGAGAACAGTGCACATGGATTATGTACTGGCATCAACCTTCTTTTTCTAGATGAAGATCTGATACTGTGAAGTTATTCCATAGAAAAGTAAACAGTATTTTGCAGTGATAGTTCCTTTATATAGAGAAAAGTACTTATTGCTGAAGCATCTTTAAAAGTGTTAAAGGGCAGGGGATGTAGCTCAGCAGCACAGCACCTGCCTGGCAAGCACAAGGTCCTGAGATTGATTCCCAGTACCCCCAAAATAAAATAAAATAGTTAAACAAAACTGATTACTATAATGCTTTTTCTTTTGTATTTGTTTACACATTAAATTCAGTATAAAATCATGCCATTTTGTTTGCCATTAAGATGTTTTGCTTTTAACTTCTTGATACAGAAAGTGATTTTGATGATAAAATCTTTAATAATAAAGATTTTATTTAGTGAAGTAAAAAAATTCTCATAAGCATAAATACTTTAAAAATGACGTTTTCATGTTATAGAAAAAACATGCTTAACTATATTAATTTCTAAGCATGGCTATAAAATATTTCTAAAACAAAATTCTACATACATCATTAAAAGGCACATTAGGATTACAACATCTAATTAATACTAATTTCTTCACTCTCCCAGGTTATTATTAACTTGGTAAACCAGACAGGAAGAGAGAAAATTATTGGTGATGCTTACCTGAAACAAGTGCTGCTCTTTAACAGCTCTCACCTCACTTACGTTTCCTTTGACTTCCATGAACACTGGTAAGGTGACTTCCTGAAATGATTCTTGGTCAGTTGCATTGTGTATTAGTAAGCTTTCTGTTGATGGGACAAAACAGCAGAGAAAAACAGCTTAAGGGCAGAAAGGTTTGTTCTGGCTTTGTGTTTCATTGGGTTAAGTTTGGCTGTTTCTTTCTGTTGCTGTGGGTTAAAGGCAGAATATCATGGCAGAAGGGCTTTTGGAGCAAGGCTACTCACCTTTTGGCAACTGGGAAGTAACAAGGGGAGTAGAGGGCCAGAATGAAGGAGCCAGGTACAAGATACAGTCCCCAACACGATGCTCTTGTGACGTTTCAACCAGCATCTGCCTTCTAATAGCTGTGAACTCATCAGAATATTCATATCTTAAGATACAGTCACTTCACAAAAGTCTTTTACTGGCCTTTTTTAGTCCTCTTTATAACACTATGTGGCAGATCCTGCCTAAGAGAACTTAGTTTCTTGTCTGTTTGCTAAGAAAAATGAAACTCTTACAGAAAAGGAGAGAATTGTTTGTTTTAGTTTACTTAGTTTTAATTTTCACAGGAGCTTTATTTTGGCTAAAATCTTGAGATAATTTTTTTTTTTTTTTTGTGGAACTGGGGATTGAACTCAGGCCCTTGCACTTGCCAAGCAAGTGCTTATTCTACTGAGCCATCTGAGCCATCTCCCCTGTCCCATGAGATAATTGTTCACAAAATATTTTTCTTCTTTCTATTCCGAAATGACTTAGATACTTAAAAAGAGTTCCGTTTTTGTTTTGGTCACACCAGTTGAAGAACTTTCAGAGCACTTTCTTTCTCCTTCAGTCTGAGTCTTAACAGAAGTAATAGAACTTCTTTACTTAGTCATCCTGCTGGCTCTTCTTTGTTCTCTACTAATAATGCTTCTGTCTCTATGGATTCAATTGTAGTGTTTACTCTGGAAAAACAACAATCAGTGAATAATGTTGACGATACCTTTAGCTTATGTGCATTCTGAGCAAGTTTCTTTTGCTCTAATCCTGGCTGTCATAGGTTAATTTATGTAGGTGTTGGAGATTTGGTGGGAATGGAAGCTTCTGCTATGTGTAGATAGTAATATTAATCGTAACATTCTTTTTAATGTTTTCAAGCTACCTTGAGCACCATATTTTCAGTATATTTTGCTTTGTTTTGTTGTGGTGGTGCTAGGGATTATCCCAGGGCTTTGTGCATGCTAGACAAGTACTCCACTGAGGCATATCCCTGGCCTCTCATATCTTAAGTAAGTTTATAGGAAATTCTTTTATAATATTAAACACATTTTTCTTTCTTTTGGCATGAATTTTAGCCGAGGAAGAAAGTTTGAGAATGTTCAAACCCTAACAGATGCCATCTATGACATTATTCTTGACATGAAGTGGTGTTGGTAGGTATTTTATAAGAAGAAATTTTGACAGACTCTTGGTCTGTGAAATCCTCTGTATTTTTCTATTAGCGTAATAGCAGCATACTTAGGAAGCATTTGTTGTTGCTTTGCTTCCTAATTTCTGTTCTTCTTTCAAGAGAGTGTGTTGATCATTAATCAGTGTTAGCTTTGAACAGGGAACAGGTGTCAGATGGTTGGGCACAAAGAAGTGAAATGCTCTGTAACTTTTTTGAATATTTAGGTTTATTCTTTCTCATGCTCTGTGGTCTATGTTTTCTCTCATTATCCCTAACATGAGAAAGAAAGTTTAGAGTTACTCAGTTTTCAGGAATTTCAAAATTAGCAGAGAAGAAAAATGATTCTCAGACTGCAGGAGGTAGATAAAGCAAGAAAAGAAAATTGCTATAAGGACAAGAGAGAACATTCGATCAGGTTTTAAGAACACATGGGCGGCCAGAGAAATTAGAGGAATAAGCCATGCTGCATGACTCCTCACAGGGTGGTAAAGTAGATTATTCTGTTTCAGATAGTATAGATTCATTTCTGCTTTGAGTAAGAAAGGAAGAAACAAAGTGGTATTTAAGTACCTTCTGGTTTAGGAATGTATAGAAAAGGATAGCATGGGGCTGTCAGCTATGCTTTATAATTGTATGATGTGGGGCAGAATACTCGTTTTGTACTTCAGTTTTATTTTTTTAATTAGGATAGTATCTCTGTTACCAAGTTATGTGTAAATTAGCAGTAATATCTATAAATCAGCAATGCCTGTCACATAATGGTATTCTAAGCAAATTATTGGCTGATGCTTCTGTTATTGTTATAAAGAATTGTTGTTTGAAAAACCTATTCAAATATTTCGAATTCTAAAATAATGCCATACTGTTTTGAAAAGGGTTGATCAAGCTGGGGTGATATGTAAACAAGAAGGAATATTTAGAGTTAATTGCATGGATTGCCTGGATCGTACAAATGTAGTGCAAGCTGCCATTGCACGAGTGGTCATGGAACAGCAGGTAATTTGGAGTCTATTTGATTCTAAATACTTTTAAATGTTTATTCTTATGTAAATAAAGGTGAAAATCTTTTTCAAGATATTGTATATTTTGTAGAACATTTATAGCATACAAACATTCCTGTATTAAAACCTGGAAAGCACGAAGTTCATTAGAAATAAGTTGAATAGAGTGTCATCTTTTTTTCTGCATTTAGGACTGGGTCTTCAAGTGTTAAGGGTCTCACTGCACAGATTGGACTTGTAGTGATTCTCCTGTTTAGAGCCTCCCAAGTGCTAGGATTATAGGAACATGCCACCCAGTCTCAATCGTTGTCTCAGTGCATCCTGGGGAGTGGGGTTGGCATGGCACACTGGGGATCGAACTGCAGCTGCTGCACTGCCTAAGCAGGCACTTTAGTCCGCTGAGCTATCAGGTCAGCCCTAGAGTGGCATTTTCTTAAGTTCTCATTTCAAAGTGGCATAGTGTAGTCAGTTACCTTTTCCTCCCTCAGCTTCTAATCCATTGTTAAGTAATTTGGGCTAAGAATCATCATTTCCATTTTTGCTTGGCCAGGTGGCTCTGCCAGTGTGCAAGTGTAAATAGCCTAAAGAAACCTGAAGCAGGTAGAAGAAAAAGGGTCATGTGCCTTCACCTTTGTTCTCTGAATCTTGTTTCTTTGACAACGAAGAACCAGCCTCTGCCCTTTGTGCACCAGATCTATGACTGACAGCTGTGTTTATCTTTGTCTTACATCACCTCTTTTTTTTTCCTTTGGTATTTTGGGGAAGGGTCTACAGGGTGTTCAGGGTCTCACTACTAGATTAGACTCCTAGTGATTCTCCTGTTTACAGCCTCCCAACAGCTGGGATTACAGGCATGCACCACCACACCCAGTTTCAATTGCAGTCTCAGCATGCCCTTGTGGGGGGACAGGCCCAAGGAATTGAACCCCAAGCCCCAGCGCAGGTACTTTAATCCACTGAGCTATTTGCCCAGCCCTTCACCTCTTTTACCTTGGTACCCCATTTAAAATCTTTTGACTTTCTCACCCCTGAATAAAAGATACCTGTATTGAATCCTCAAATAAATACCTAGTGTGGTTTCTCAATTTTTATGTTTTGTGATTTCTTATAACTGTTCTTTGAGGACCTGAAGCTGTTCCTCTAATGTAATGCTTAAACACCCTGGATTTTGAATGTAAGCCCTGGTTGTACCACATGTGAGGTCTTGGCTCTGTCCAGAATTTAACTTTTCTAAACCTCAGTCCCTTTATTTCTAAAATGGGGTTAATAAGAGTATTATTTACTAGGATTGTTATGACATTTGAAAAAAACCTTATAAACCCTAGCTCTGGCATAGAGTTAGCATTTATTGGGTATGTACCAATTTGGTACTATTAATATTCTTATTGTTTCCATATACTTTTCTAATATTTAGTTTTACTACATAGGCAAATTGAAAATAAAGACAAAATGTAACAGTATGATCCTATAAATTAAAAATTATACTAAAACAATATTTCATTATATTTATTCAGCTATGGTAATCCATAATGCTTTTTTAGTAGTGCTTTTAAAAAATGTGAAAACACTTTCTTTTAAGTGTATACTGTTTCCTTTCTTTGGAGTGTATATTTTATCCTATGATTTTGTGGCTTAATCTACCAATATGTTCACTTTAGCTGAAAAAATTAGGTGTGATGCCCCCAGAGCAGCCACTGCCTGTGAAATGTAATCGGATCTACCAGATAATGTGGGCAAACAATGGTGATTCCATTAGCAGACAGTATGCTGGGACAGCCGCTCTGAAGGTAAGTACATGCAACAAGAATTTATAGATCTTTCAGTGGGACATGGGTTGGGCTGTGGCTTAAAACCAACTTTGTTTTTGACAGACAGTTATCCAAGTTGCGGGTGATAGGTCTGTGTAATTGACTTCTTTTGAGAATGTTTGATTAAGTCAGAGGTCACCCATTTAAATTCCTGCAGGATGTAGCTCAGTGGTATACTTTTGCATAGCAGGCACGAGGCCCTGGGTTCAACCCCCAATACCCACACAAAAAAAGACAAGACAAGTCCAGACAATACCTGCAGGAGTCAGTGTGATTCAAGCAGCCACCACTAGATCAGGAGAGGTGGGTCGTGCAGACTCAAGGTCAAGGAGTAGAGTGCACTGTATGTGAGGGGGCTAATCTACTGTTACTTCTTTAAGGAGGTTGTGGGTTGCCAGATCTTTCAAGAAAGTCTTATCCAGGTTGTCTAGAAATCTGGAATTTTGTGTGAATGGATTTTAAAACTATGTAGGACAAAATGTGTCATACTTGGTCCTCCTGTTATGCTTTGTATTGAGTTTGAATCCTAAGTTTGCCTCTTACTAGCTGTTACCCTGGGCAAATCACTTAAATACTTTGTCTCATAAGTACTGGGTGTAGTGGTATACACTGTCCAATGGGAATGGTATTAAGCTTATTGCAAAAACTTCTCATGGAATTATGAGTTAATGGGTATAAGGGCTTAGACCAATCCCTGAACATAGTGAATGTTGGGGAAATGTTTTATTATTTTTTTTGTTGTTATATATAAAATTTCATTGTCTTCCGTGGACAATGGGAATTGATTGAATTAGTTCAATTATTTAATTTTCCTTCACGATTCATCCATGATATTTCTTAAAACAAATGTACCACCAGGGACTCAACAAGCACCAGTTGTTCTGTATCTTTGATTTGAGTAATAAATATCAAAATTTTTTTAATAACTAGAAGCTATACCAGTGGTGGTGAACCTGTGGCATGCATGCCACATCCAGTTGTTTGCTACTCTTTAGAACTGAAAGGTTCACCATCGCTGGACTATACCTCCGTGTTTTAAGTTACTACCACTCAGGAGACTTGCTCTGTCATCTTTGTTGTAAAATTAAGAAAAACCGCTGGGTGTGGTGGTGCACACCTGTAATTCCAGGATGCAGGAGGATAGCTGTGAATCTGAGGCCAGCCTGAACTACATAGCAAAACCCTATCTCAGAAAAAAAAAAAAAAAAAAAAATCTCAAATATAAAAAAACAAAAGCAAAACACAATACTTCCAAACAAAAACACCCTAAATAAACAAAGCAAGAATGACAAAAACTATTTAAATCTTTCTTGGATTGCTGTACCTGTGATTTTTAATGTGCAGTGAAGTATTGGAAATCTGAGGTGTATACTTTACATAGGTGAAATCTCATTTTAATACATTTTAGGTAGCTCTACATTCCCACATCAGAAATTTGGTGGGGTTTGTTTGTTGTTTGTATTAGGAATTGAACCTAAGTCTTGTACATGCTAGGCAGCCATTCTACCACTGAGCTCATCACCAGTCCTTTTAAAAATTTTAATATATGGTTTCACTAAATTGCCTTGCCTAAGCTGGTCTTGAATTTATGATCCTCTTTTCTCAGCCGCCCAAGTAGCTGGTATTATAGGCATATGCCACCAAACCTGGCAAAATTTTGGTTTTTTAATGTTGTAACAGTTTAAGATCTGAAAAATCTTTCTCGTTGTGTTATTTGTTATGCCATTCATTTTCACTTGTAAATTCTAGAAATTCCTCAAACTACTTAGAATGGCTTCCTGTTAGAGTAACACCTAACTTTGAAGACCTGATGCCATAAATAACATGTCTAATTGTTGATATGTTTGGATTAGAATCAAATACTGGTAGACTCTTTAACTTACACCATTTGAAAATTATTAAGGTTAGAGTTTGGAAATTATAGAAAGCTGTAGAATTCTAGTCTTGAATTGAAAGCCCAAAATTGATGTTGAGAATATACTTGTCTTTGAATAAATTTCCAAAATGACTTTCTTTGACAGGGTGACTTTACAAGGACAGGAGAAAGGAAGTTAGCAGGAGTTATGAAAGATGGCGTGAACTCAGCAAATAGATATTACCTCAATCAGTTTAAGGATGCTTATAGGCAAGCTGTTATAGGTAAGGAATAGAAGGACTTTTTTAATTTAAAATTTATTATTCCTTCCGTGACTGACATTTTTTGAGGCTAACTTCATTAACATGATTCATGCTTTATAATACATTTGTGTTTCTATATTGAGCATCTTACCCAGCAAGTCAAATTCAAGTTTTTTTAAAAAAGTAAAATCTGGTATAGTTAGATGTGGTGGTGCATACCTGTAATTGCAGCATTCAGGAGGTTGACATAGACAGATTATCACAAGTTTGAGGCCAGACTGAAATACATAGCAAGACCCTGTCTCAAAAAACCAAAACCAAAAAAATTAGAATTTGAAAAATACTTTTGGCTAGAGCAACAAGAGAAACCATCTATTTCCATATCTGTTAGTTTGCTACTCACATAACAGCAGAGTTCAAAGTCCTGGAGTGTGAAGTAAGGTGCCTTAAATCCTTAATGATTAAAAATGTCATATTTCTTTCCCATCATTCAAGCACTATAACCAGATATTCATATTCTCTCTCTCTCCCTCCCTCTCTCCCTGTCTCTGTCTCTGTCTCTGTCTCTCTGTGTGTGTATGTGGATACTTATGTATAGTTGTGGTATTAAGGATTATTGACCTTTACCCTGAACTACATCCCCAGCCTGTTTATTTTTTATTAAATCTCTGAGTTGCATAGGCTGCTCTCAAACTTGCACTTCTCCTACCTTAGCTTTGCCAGTGCTGGGATCACAGGCATGTGCCACCACACCTGGTTGATTGTCTCTTCTTGCAAACCATTTATCATATGTTTGTTTTTTTTTTTTTTTTTGTTTTGTTTTTTGGTTTTTATTTTGTTTTGGTGCTGGGAATAGAACTCATGACTTTGCACTTGCCAAGCAGATACTTGTGCCATTGAGCTATCTTCCTGGCCCCTGACATGCTTTTTTTTTTTTTTTTTTCTACTTTAGTACAGGGTCTACTTGGTCTCACTATGTAGATTAGACTCATAGTGATTTGCCTGTGTTCAGCCTCCTACAAGCCAGGATTTTAGGCACATGCCTCCACACCCCCCATTCTTAATTGCTGTCTCAGTGTGCCCTGGGGGTGGGGCTGGCACTGCAGGCTTAGGGATTGAACCCCTGACCCCTGCATGTGCCTAAGCAGGTGTTTTAATCCGCTGAGCTGTTTGGCTGGCCCTTCATTTGTTCTTTTATGGACAAATGCACCATCTTTTTCCTAGGTATGTTTTAAGAGGATATTGGGGTACCAGATTTGGTCATTATTCTAATTAACTCATCACTTTTTAGAAGAGAAATTTCTGTTGCCCAGTAGAATTGATGTATTTTAAATTTTCATGAAATTGTTATAGGATTAAAATAAACACAGAATATTCTGGGTTAGAACCAAATTTGATATAGCTGTCTCTAAGAATCTTTCCTAAATCCTACTTTTTCACCTGATTAAGTAGCATGCATGGGATAATAGGTCCTTAGACAAAGACCTTTAGGAATTGGAGAAAATCTGGTATAAAGAATTTGATTCAGGGGCCAGGGAGATGGCTCAGTAGAATAGGCGCTTCCTTGGCAAGCACAAGGGTCTGAGTTCAATCCCTGGTTTCACCAAATAAAATGAAATGAAATGATTTTTTTTACTATTGAGTTGTGGTAGGTACATATTAGATATAAAAGTCCCTTGCCAAAAAATGAGTTGTAAAACCAGTTTTGTGGGTTGATGCCCTTCAGAGTATAGAAAGTTTTGGTTTTTTTGATATTCAGTTTTCTGTTCTACTCTTGTTTATGATTTTGGTATTGTATCTAAAAACCATTTCCTGGGTTGGGGATATTGCTCAGGAGTAGAGAGCTTGTCTAGCCTGTGCAAGGTCCTGGATTCAATCTTGACTTAAAAAAAAGTAACAGAGCCAGCCAAATAGTTCAGCGGATTAAAGCACCTGCAAGCAGGAACAGGGTCCAGGGATTTGATCCCCAGGCCTGCCATGCCGGCCCTGCCCCTGAGGTGCGCTGAGAGGGGAATTGAGACTGGGTGTGGTGGTGCGAGCCTATAATCCCAGCTCTTGGGAGGCTGTAAACAGGTGAATCACTATGAGTCTGATCTAGTAGTGAGACCATGAATATGGACCCTTCCCTAAAATACAAGGAAAAGAAAACATAAAGAAAAAAAAAGGTGACAGCTGAAAGTATGGTAGCTTACACTTGTAATCCCAGCACTCAGGAGGCTGAGAGAGGCTGAATTAGGACAATCACCATGGTTCAAGGTCATCCTGAGCTACAGTAGAGACTCTGCTCACAAAAACACCCAATCCAGGGTCATAAAGACATATGCTTAGGTTTCTTCTAATGGTTTTTAGTTTTAGGTCTTATATTCTCTTTGTTTTTTAAAAGTATGTGTGTAGGGCCAGGGCTGGTGATGCTCACCCATCCCAGCACTTGGGATGCTAAGGCAGTATTACCACAAGTTTGAGGCCAGCCTGAACTATATCCAGCCTGTACTACATAGTGAGACCATATTTTAAAGAAAAAGTATATGTATATTAAGATACTGATAGATATGAATGCTTCGGTTATAGATTTGATGCAAGGCATTCCAGTGACAGAAGATCTTTATTCCATATTTAACAAGGAGAAAGAGCATGAAGCTTTGCATAAGGAAAGCCAGAGAAGCCACCAAGAATTGATTAGTCAGCTTCTGCAAAGCTACATGAAGTTACTACTGCCTGATGATGAAAAATTCCATGGGGGCTGGGCCCTTATTGATTGTGATCCCAGGTGAGTTGGAGTGGTGCCAGGTGGCTAACGTGCATATCCTTCTGGTGTTGCTAAGTTGTCCATAAAACTGTGGGCATGGATGCATGGTGCATGGCAGTTGTCATTATAGTACAGGGCTTGTGCTAATGCAGGGTAAGGCACTTGTGTGGGTCCAAAATTAAGAGGGTGCTAAAAACTCAGTAATGAAATATTTTAATACAGCATTTGATTTTGTGTATGTGGAGGGGGGCTGGGGTTTGAGTCCAGGGCCCTTCTTACTGAACTATATCCCTAGCCCCCCTTTGTCTTTTTGAGATATGATCTTGGTAAGTCCCTGAAGTTTTCCAAACTTTGCTCAAATGTGATCCTTCTGCTTCAGCCTCCCAGAGTGTGGAAATTATAGGCCTATACTACCACATCTGTCTCAGTATTTGAATTTCTAAAAATTTGAGTTGGCCCACTCCTGCCTGTGGCTGGCTGCATAGGTTTTACCCTAGCTGTTCCACCTGTGTAGGTTTATTGTGTTGATGCACAAAGTGAATATAATAAGAGGTACAATGGTACTTGTTATTTTTATTGGTTACAAAATGGTCCTGGCTTTTTTTTTTTTTTTTTTGTCCTCGAATGCCTTCAGGGCACTTTTGGCTGGCTGGAGTGTTGTGGGGATCGAACTACAGCAACCTGAGGCTGCCAGCATAGTGGAGGCAGCCACTTAAAGAACTGAGCTAGGGCCAGGCCCCCTGGTCCTGGCTTTTTATAAAATAAGTAGGCCAATTAATACTTGACTTTTTTTTAAAGCATCCAGTGTAAAGTGAATCTTTATCAATGAACAGCACTATCTAAATTTATCTCCCAGATTGAATGCTTACTTTTAGGCTGAAATCTAATGTGATTATGTTTAATATTACAAAGAAACATTTCTGAGCTAAAGCACTATGTTTAATTTTATCTTACACACACATATGTGCATATATTTCATGAATTTTTAATAGAAGGGGCATGTAAGCTTGAAAGTATAGTTAAACACATTTATATGTGTTAAAATCTATAAAAGGCTTTTACTATAGGTTCATAAGGAAACCTCATAATTGTAACCTCATAGATGATTTTACTTTGATATTAAATACTATAAGTGAGATTCACAGACTTTTAGAATGAAATGAAGTTTTCCTCACACACCTTAACACAAAATTTCTGTTAAGTTTTTTTGTAAAACATTTTGATTCATGTGCTTTAGTAGTTTTTATAAACAGAAGCAATCCAATTTAATGCAGTGTCAAAAAGAGGTAAGTTTTGGGGGCAGTTGTTTGTTTTTTGGTATTTTGTTCTTCTATGGAGTATTTTTAATATTGGGGATTGAACACAAGACTTTGCACTAAGCTACATCTCCAACTCTAAGAAGTAGTATTTAAATTACTCTTTAGATGTAATTGTAGGTAACACCTATATTTAGCTTGAGTTTTCATTTTGTACTTCAATTTTTATTTATTTATTTTGGTACTGGGGATTGAAGCCAGGGCTTTACAATGTGCTACGCAAGCACTGTACCACTAAACTATATCCTGAGCCCTGTACTTCAATTTTTAAAAATCCTCAGGTCATGTTTTGTTTTGTTTTTTCTTCTTTTTGTGGAACTGGAGATCAAATTCATGATCGTGTGCTTGCCAGGCAGGCACTGTGCCACTGAGCTATATCCCCAGCCCTTAGATCATGTTTTTTTTTTTTTTTTTTTTTTTTGTTTGTTTGTTTGTTTGTTTATTTGTTTCTAGTTTGGGATAAATTACAATGGGACAACCAAAAAGTTTATTTCTTTGTATCCATCGCCACCGCCACTTCACTGACCTAATGCAGGACCTCATGCATAGATGCAAGCACTTTACCACAGAGCTACATACCCAGCCCAAAAAGTTGATTTCTAATGCTGGCCACCATTTTGCTGGATCACACTGTTCTTGGTTTGATTTACAATCCTACCATTCATTTATTTGTTCATTCATTCATTCATTCATTCATTCATTCATTTATGTAGGTTGTGCTAGGGTTGAACACAGGATCTTGTGTAAGGATCCATTGGTTTTTCAATATGATCTTTTGTACCTGAGGAAAAATGGCAGCAGGAATGAGGAAAAGATAGATGAGGAGATAAGAGGCGGGTTAGGTGGTAGCCCATCTGCCTGATTGATGAGAAGACGCCCCGAAACCCCCGCAACAGCATGTGCATTTATTTATATCTTTGTAAAGTTAGTAATGTGACACAAAGTTGCCTAGTGACTAATAGCTGACATTAACCAATCAGGATGCTTGTCTCACAACTGAGGTAGCTTGACTGCTTTAGGCACTGAGGCCTAGTCCCACTTTCACACATTTGACCAGTTTTCCAGCTTTCATGGCTCCCAACATATCTCCCTTTTTTATTATGTGAGTGATGGGTGTTGAAGAAGCTGTGTTTGGAGAACTCTTTAGAAGACCTTTCATACTTGACGCCAGGCCAAAGATTTTTGGTACTTGAATTCAGCAGTGTAACCCTATATAGTCCAAAAGTCCATGACAGTAGTGAGTTATCAGTGCAGCTGGCAATTGTCAGAAGTTGTTAGTGACTTGTGCCTTTTACAGCTTAGCATATTAATATGGCATTACTTTTCATGTCTTGTGACAACCTAGGACTTGTGGGCTGTCAATGGAATCTATGGGGGCACTGCAACAGGGATTGCCCAGTCCTGTAGCTATTCCTTTACATTTTTCCCTTATGGTGATTGATTTAAAAGACTTTCTTTTCATCCCTCTCCACCCTGAAGATAAAAACATGTTTTGCTTTTAGTTTACCCTGTATTAATAATTAGGCCCCTATATGCCACTTTCAATGGTGTTGTGTACCACAAGGTATGGTGAATAGTCCAACTCTGCGCCAAGAGTTTGTGGCTACAGCCATTCAGTCAGTATGACAGGCTTAGCCATCTGCATAGATTATCTATTGCACAGATGACATTCTTAGGGCCAGCCAGAAAGCTCAGTGGATTAAAGTGCCTGCTGAGGCAGATGCAGGGACTGGGGTTTGATCCCCAGAGTGCCATGCTGGCCCCACCCCCAAGATGTGCTGAGACCCCAGTTGAGAATGGGTGTGGTGGCACATGCCTGTAATCCTAACCCTTGGGAGGCTGAAAACAGGAGGGTCACTATGAGTCCGATCTGTGTACTGAGACCCTGTAGACCCTGTACTAAATACATAAAAAAATAAAAAATAAAAAAACATAGACAACATTCTTTTGGCACATGAATCCTGGTCCATCTTACATCAAATGTTTATCTGCAATGTAGGTCTAGTGATAGCCCCTGAAAAGGTGCAAACTATGGCACCCTTTTCATATTTGGGACACTAGTCAACAAATTGTTGTTTAAATCAATCACCATAAGAGAAAAATGTAAAGGAATAGCTACAGGACTGGGCAGTCCCTGTTGCAGTGCCCTCCTCATAGGTTCCATTGACAGCCCACAAGTCCTGTCGCAATCTTCATCTGAAGATTATAATTTTTTTTAATTATAAAAATTGGGGTATTCCAAGGGCTGTTGGAGTGGTGTAGGTGCCCTGCCATCATCTGTTCATATAACCAGTATATGAACTGCTGTAATCTTCTTAGTGAGTGGTCACTGATCAACCCAAATGGGATCATCAGACATCCAAGTTATCTTGGATGCCATCCATGGAGTCAGAGAAGAGATCAAGGCCCCTCCTGAAAATGTGAGGATGAGTAGCCTATGCCAAGATATTCCCTTTTAGGAATAACTAGAAGAGGTTATTTTTTCCCTTGATTATTTTTATCCAGCCCTAGAATGGGAAGGAAACCTTGTTGTAACATCTGATGAGTCATCAGGGAGTTAGGACTGGCCAAAAATGCTTCCATACCCTGTAATAGGTCGTAACACCATAGATTGCCAGGTATATGAGGGAGCACATAAGGAGAGAAATATCCAGAATGGCCCTCTGCATTCCTGTTAGCAACTTAGTGCTTCTGCTAGGGTAAAAAACCTTGCTCACCCCTAGTAAATCTGTAATGGCCATATCTAGAGGCTGTGCTTCAGGCCAGTGGTCCTGAACAATCACTGAAACATCTGCACCTGTGTCTAATAGCTCTTTGCTTTTCCTTAGTCAACTCCATCTTGGGACGATTTTGTTTAATCTGTTGAACCCAATAAGTGTTAAGAGATCCAAAACCCTTGAGTTTTTTCCCTTATTTATAAATTTTGCAAATTTGTCCAAATGAAAAATGACCAATTGAGCAACAGGAGTGTCTGGGGTGATTTGAGCAATGGTCTGGGTAGACTGAATAATAACCTTGATTTCTCCTGTATAATCAGGATGGATGACACCAGGCAAAACCTGGAAACCTTTTAAAACGAGACTGCTGCTGCCTAGCAAGATTCCCACTGGGGCATAGGTCCATGGACTCCAGTAGGAATAATTTGTGGCCCCATTTCAGGAGTCAGTTGGAATCTAGAGGAGGAACTGAGGTCCAAGCCTTGGTTGTTGGTTGTTGTTTGTTGTTTGCCAGAGGTCAGAGGTGCTTGTTGCGGGGAAGGGGAGAGCACCCCTCATTATTTGATGGGGCTGAGGCTGGCTCCAGTAGACGTTTCCCTGAATGGGGCTGCCTTCCACATCAATTTTTAGATCTACATTCACTTTTCCAATGATACCCTCATCTATATTTTGTACATAGACTAAAAGTTTTCATTGAAGAGACAGATAATGTTTGTGTTGCCTTTGATGCAGCAGAACAGTGTCAGGCTAAGTGTCCTTCATCTCCACAATGGCAATGAATAGCTTTGACTTTTCCATTTCTTCCAGCCTGTGAATGAATAATGTGAGTAATAGCTGCTGCCTTGGAGCAGCTGTATATATGAGGGGCCAATTTCTGCACAAATCCAAATCATCTCAGGCAGTGTAGCTTGCTTTTTGTAGGCTCTTAAAGCCTCTTTACACCATTATTTGCATTTTCGAAGGCCAATTGTTGAAATATTAATTTGCT